AAGCTGGCATTAACAAGGCCTGTTAGGGTTGATAAAATATGTGGGTAACAATCCTTAAGAACATTGATAGAAATTTTATCATAACCTGGTGCTTTATTGGATGGCATATTCTTTATCACTTGTTCAATTTTGGTGTAAGATACTTGGTTGAAAAAAAACTGATCAGATAAAGGATAACTTTGCTTCGATTCTGCAGACGCCGATAGCTCCATAATTAAGTCGTACAGTGGGGGTCAAAAGTCTGAGTGCAGTCAATATGATTTTGCCTTTTATTGATATACAATATATTCTTACACAACACACCACTATATGTGCGTCGAATAAGGATTTACATCAACGTTGGAATTGATTATAATATATTAGCCAAGTGAACATTATTTTAATATTTTGTGTGACCTCCTTTTGATTTTAAGACAGCTTCAATTCTTCCTGTCATAGCCATAGATTCAACAAGTTTTCTTATTATTGATGGTTTAAGGTTATTCCAGCATTATTGATCAACGACATCCCATAGCCATAGGTTGGTTGTCTTTACTTGGGGGATTATGTTTCACTTTCTCACGTTTCAAATGTTCCCATAAATTCTCAATAGGATTTAGGATTATAGGTCTGGAGGTTGAGGAGGAAATCCATAACAACCAGATCACCTTTCTCTTGCTCCCTACTTATTAACTAATTTTCACCAAACAAAAATATCACTCCACCCTTCAAAGACAAGCCATACCATCTAGCTTAAGGTTGTGTGGAAGGGATTTGTGATTTGTCTTGCAACGCGGGATAATGATCCGAAACACACTTCTCACATGTGTAAAAATTATTGAAGAAGGAAACAAGAGAAAGGTCATCTGGTTGTTCTGGATTTTCCTCCTCAATCTCGGGAACTAAATCCTATTGAGAATTTATGAGATCATTTGAAACGAGGGAAAGTGAAACATGATCCCACAAGTAAAGAAAACCTATGGGATGTCCTCAAGTAATCAATGCTGGAATAACCTTAAACCAGCACTTCAAAGCACTACTTAGAACACTGCTTGTTGAATCTATGTCAGGAAGAGTTAAAGCTATTTTAAAATCAAAAGGAGGTCACACAAAATATTAAAATAATGTTCACTTGGCTAATATAGTTTAGTCAATTCCAACGTTGATGTAAATCCTTATTTGACGCACATATAGTGCTCTATTGTGTGAAAATATATTGTATATCAATAAAAGGCAAAAGTATATTGACTGGACTCAGACTTTTGACCCCCACTGTATATAAAGTATTCGCATCCGTGTTGTAGATTTGTAGCAGACATACAACCTCCTGCCTTCTGCTCAAGTTTGTATATCTGATACAACACCGCCACTCATGCTTTATCTGTTACTTAGTCTTAGAGATGCATAGATTTTATTCATGAACTTTATTAACTCTTTTCAGTTAGATGGTTTTTGACTCACGGATGTTGCGAAGCAACAGGGGCAGTAAACAATGGGAAATGACCAGCCTGCTTTGCGCGCACTGTTTGCCTGCGAAACGAGCGTTTCAGAACCAGAAATCAGGCTGGAGCACGCGTTCGTTCTTTTCTGATTTGGCAATAGAAGCACGACAAAAGGGTGAAATGGCAAAATTCGCACGGTGCCCGGTTTGCACTGAAACAACTGCAAATTGCTTTAATTCTTTCCGTCACTTTCATTTGATCTTATCCGTGAGTCGGCTTCAACGGCCTTTGATTTGAATTGTGGAGCTTTGAAACATATGAAAAAGTTATATTTGATGGCAACATGAGAGATTTTCTTGCAGTGTCTGAAGTTGACCACTGTTCTGTCGCGCGTATATCGAAAACCCGCCAACACAAAAATATTTTATTCTCAGAATGAAGAGCAAGATCATAGGAGAGGGAAGAGTTCTCTCACGCATCTTATAACTAAGGCATTAAATTGACACTCGTGAAGGGGGTCGCGGTAGGTATAGGGTGTGGCTGACATTTTTTACGCAGAATGTAGAGCATGAGAGGGAAGAGTTCTCTCACGCATCTTATAAATGTAAGACATTAATTAAATTGTACTCGTGCCAGGGGACCGCGGTAGGTAAAGGTTCAGATTTGAGTCAGTCTACTACCAGGACCGATCAGATTACTGCTGGATAAAAGTGGAAGTCAAATCGATATGTCCTTTACACGAAATACATACCAACATTTACCCTAATAATTCCAGCCCTAACCCCTACACTAACCCTAACCCATTACACAATGTTTATAATTATACACTCCTTAATGTAAGAAATGGTTTTGCCTTCTCCCTGTGCGTTGTTTCACTGTGTTCGATAAGTAGGGCATGTAGTAAAAGAAGGAACACCGGAATGGCGGAATACCGGAATGGCGGAATACCGGAATACCGGAATACCGGAACATCGTTTTCATTTTGACGGAAAGTTAAAAGGAAGTATTTTAAATCCGATCTGTAAAAGGAATTTAAATATATTTATAAAGGCTATAAACAGGCAAAAATTACAGGAACCACTGAGTATTTTAAGTATGAATACAAATGCGAAAAAAGTTGTCCTGACTGGAATGGGATAAAGATGGCTGCGGCTGAATCGAATGGAGATTTATCGAAATTTCTCGTGTGGTACAAGCAGAAAAGCAGCAAATTTGTCCGCGGTTGTGCGTACAGACATGCCACAACATCCCGGAAGAAAAGGCGGTGTACCTGTTACATCAAGAAGAGCAACTCCTAAACTACCCGTTGATGCACGACGAAAGCGCACATACAGTAAATCTACTGGAAGTTCGTCTATTGTAACAGAGGTACCAAATACAAACCCATTCTACGTTAAAAAGATGAACATTCGAATTGAAGTATGCCAAGGATGCAGGGGTCCTCTGAAGTCGGCAGGGAAAGAAATTCAGCCCCCGCCGTTCGATTACTGTATTGCGAGGAGGGAAAGAAGACCATACAGGGGTGACAATGGCCAACTGAAAACTCCATCCCGACAGTCAGATGCACATTATCACCTGCGAGCAGCATGCGTTAAAGCTGCAGAACCGTCATTTGTAACATCTTCTCTTGTGATACCTGACGACATTCAGCTAACAGAAGTTCATGAATGATATCTCGTCCATGAGTTTGGGCTCAATTTCGTTGCGAGATAGAGACATCGACATATAACATATATGACATTTGGCTGACATATGACAATATATCCTTTACAGAATAAAATAGGGATTTTTACTTGTTGTTTACGTTACGTTGTGACACAATTGTTGTGTTATGTTATGTTTCAGTGACCTACTCAGTAGGCTACTCTGTAGGCTTACAGTAGGCTACTGTAATATTGTCGGTTTCAGGTCACTTTTCAAAACGCGGTTCCGGTTTGTTGTGAATATTCACATTCAGCTTTTTAAATTTGGAATATTGAGCGTGGAATTACAATTTAAGTTGCTTACTCAAATACCGAAGTACTGAACTGGAATACCGACGTAGCGATCTTAAACTCGTAATTTGCAGTGTTTTACTTATATAGCCAACGAATTAAACGTATTTCTCAAGACTTAATAAATAATTGGGAATTACCAACAAACAAACTAGGGAACCACGCTTTGAGAGGTGATCTGAAATCCACAATAAGTGTATTGTTTACATTTACTTAATTCAAATTCACGTCGAGACTTTAATTTAAATTAATCAGCGAATCCTGGTAGAATAACTGGGATATTAGTTTTATTCACACGAATATATGTATTCCTTCGAGGAAAACAACTTATGAGATGTCTCACAAGAAAATGTTTAGCAACAACTCGTAATGCAAGTCGTTGCCGACCCAATCGAATTTCAAGTAACACCATTTCATGGTGAAACGTCGCCAAACATTGTCTTGTGGGACATCGCGTTATTAAGTGTTTGTGTGCGTTTGATATCCTTGTAAATAAGGTCTACTAAACTGCCGCATTGAATAATACTGTATATATATTGACATTTTTTATTCATGTTTAAACGCCTTAAATAAAAAATTCTTTATGGATTTGAAATATTTTTTTAAATTGTCCTTCAAAAGTAAAAATGCTATTCCGGTGTTCCGGCATTCAGGTGTTCCGGTATTCCGGTGTTACTTCTTTTACTACATGCCATGGATTTTCGAAGAATAAACACATAGAGTCTGAAACAGCTGAAGTCATAAATGAACAATGTAAGTTCTATACGAATTATACATAGTGCATTTTCTTTTAACTCCTTAAAAAGATGCAGCTAGGGTATTTCCTTGGATAAATAATACAATAACCCTTACTATACTCAAATACAAGCAGTGGCATAGCCAGCCCAATATCCTGGGGGGGCAATGCAAATTTTAGTTGTGTTCATTGGACTATGAAAGCAATCAACTTATGAAGAAATGAATGTTTGCTTAATGATTTGAAATTTGCTTTGCCACCCCAGAAATATTGGACTGGCTATGCCACTGACTTTATAAGAGAAACAAAATTGATTATTATATTTAGTGTTGCTATTAAATTATTAATCACTCCTGACCATGCAACAGTTAACTGCTGGTTGAAATACTATTCTTACATTTAGTTAGCGTTGACACACACACTGACAACAAAGCTAACAGTTCTGATGGAAAACCAGACAATGTCACTGATGGACAACCAACCAAGTCACTGATGGACAGCCAGACAATGTCACTGATGGACAGCCAGACAATGTCACTGATGGGCAGCCAGACAATGTAACTGATGGACAGCCAGACAATGTCACTGATGGACAGCCAGACAATGTCACTGATGGACAGCCAGACAATGTCATTGATGGACGAGTCAGCATTCAAGGAGGAACAGATGAAACCAGGAATGTAAACAACAATCCGTCAAATGATCATGAACTGCCTGTGAAATACACCTTGCCATTCAAGGTTTTGGGCTCAGCGCACAACCTGAATGACCAAAAACATTTAAAGGCTGCATATAATCTATGGAATTCAGGAGAGACCAGTCTGGATGTGTTAATGTGCCCTGAAAAGAATAACAAGTTTGATCCAAAGGCCATTGCAGTTTCTTTAAAGTATAATTGCACTGGGTTTCACAGGGTAGGATATATTGCAAAAGAACTTACATGACATATTCATCCTTACCTAAATACAGATCATTTATTTGCAACAGTCAAAAGGATTAGCTTCAGAGTGGATTCCCTAATGGTCGGTTATTACCTAACAATCGACATTACAAAACAAGGAGAGTGGAGCCCTGATGCTGTCCGAGCTAGTAAAAGGGTTAGATAATAAATTGAATATCAAGTGACAAACCTATTTATTCCTTATTCAAACTGTGTGGGAGGCAGTATTTCTGGTGCTTTGTGGAATTTTGCTCGTACTGTTAATGACTTGTGTTGAGGCATGGATGCTCAATTAGAAGCAAATACTCGTGGATCAGCTCTTCTGGATATCCTAACATAATCTAAACGTTCAACATCACAGGATCCTGTTGATCAAAATCTGGCAATGGAATGTCCCTATAACGAAGATGACAACCGGTCCAGTAATAAAATGGAAGCTCGGGATTCATTTTCTTTTCAAACTCAGCTAAGATCTTTAGACGGCCGGCCAAGTCATCAATTTGTACAACTTGATGGCAACTTTATGTTAGAAGCTGGTAACAG